AAGGCTTTAAGTCGATCCTTGTTGAAAAGAGAAAAACACCCTTAGCTCAAGTGATACTTCATGGATGTGTGTTCCATGTGACCCTGTTACTAATGTCCTGTTGGGACAGACTCCAAAGGTGGGGTGGCACACTTCTTCAGCTCCAGAGGGATTGGAGTGGCTATGGCACCTGAATGACATCTTGTGGGTTAAAGGGGACTCTTGCAGTCACCAATAGTTGAGATGAAACCACAGGTGGGTGGGGGAGGGCTTCCCACCATCCTGATCTGTTGTTTTCTGAGACAAGGTCTCTCCGTATAACCCTGAATGTCCTGGAGCTCACTCTGTAGACCAGGCTGGCCTCAAACTCAGAGACTCACCTGCCTCGGCCTCCTGAGTACAGGGATTAAAGGCATGTGCCACCACCATGGGCTCCATTCTGATTTTTTGCCTTGGTTTCAGTACAGCCCAATGCTGGGCAGAGAGAAGGATGTGTCTTTCTGCTGAGACTAAGCCCTTCCTGCTGAAGGGCCAGTCTCAGGGTGGGGAGTGGGGTGGCTGGAAGATGCTGTACTTGACCGGAGCAACCCACAGCAGCCTTGCATCTCTCTTCCTCAAACACGCAGGGATTAGATTACCAATTCAGCTTGCCCAGAGTTGATCATGTCTGTATATCTACAGTACTCTGCCTAATGGCACTGGGAGAACTGAGTTATCCTGAAGGGGCCTGCAGTGGTTTGAAGGAATGGCCCCCTAGGGGAGTGGCACTATTAAGAGGCATGGCCTTGCTGGAGGAAGTATGTCACTGTGGAGGTGGGTTTTGAGGTCTCATATATGCTCAAGATACCACCCAGTGACCTGTTGTCTGTGGGTCAAGCTCTCAGCTCCTTCTCCAGCACCATGTCTGCCTGCACACTGCTGTGTCCCACCATGATAATGGACTGAACCTCTGAACTATAATCGAGCCACCATAATTATTAATTGTTTGCTTTTTCAAGATAGGATTTCTCTGAAGCTTTGGAGCCTGTCCTCTGCCTCCCAAGTGCTGAGATTAAAGGCGTACGCCACCACCGTCCCACCAAATGGTGGTCATGATGTCTCTTCACAGCGAAAGAAACCCTAAGACAGGGCCCACTTATTTCACTGTTCAGCCTGAGACATTGGGAGAGCTTCAAACTTACTCCATGTACGGATATGTAAGGTCTCTCTGCCAGAGCGGGCACACCTATCACCTGACTGACGGTATTCTTCCCAAACGGCTCCTACTTCTCACTTAAAAGCAGTCTTCCTTCCCACCCCACACACCTGCTTCCTCACCATCTCATGGCCTGCTTTGGGTTCTCCCCCAATCCCACTCATTGTTCCAAGGTCACTCACACTGTGGGCCTGCCCGTGCTGTGTCCTTGTGCAACTTTCCCACTCTGTGCCTGTTGCCCCACTGGGTGCCACGAGTCTGCAGACTCAGTGGGCTCTTGGTGCATGAGCAGAGATCACAAGCAGGGACTTCCCCTAACAAAAGGTTCCAGTAAAGCGTGTCAAGCGGCATCTCAAACCTACATTAGCTCCGTCTCCACTCTCTTGCAGATACTTCTTTGAATCATAGCTTCAGGTACTCCTCATGGGCAGCGTCAGTGGTGGCTCTGGCCGCATGGGCTCTGGGTGTCTGTCCTGCATTTAGGCTTGGATACTATGTACTGCAGACCCACCCACCCCCATTTTTCTTTTTGGTTTTGGTCTTTTAAGACAGGTCTCGCTATCTACCTTGGCTGTCCTGGAACTGTGTAGACCAGGCTGGGATCAAAGGTGTGCACCACCACCGCCCAGCTCTGTAAATGACTTTTCAGTCAGGCAAAACCTAAGTTACTTGGGGCAACCTGATAAAAACACTGCGGGTTTCTCTAGTAAGTGAGCCATCCTAGTGAGCTATGGGAGATGTTTGACCTTTTAAATAGCAAATAGCAGGAGCAAAAAATTAGTAATTTATTGTGCACAGTAAAGTGCCTGTATAATGATTAGCATTATACATTTTAAAATACTAGAACAAAGCATTTAAATGTTTTCTCACAAAAGAAATGGCAAATCACTAATATGCTTTGCTGATTTAAACATGATACACTACACATACATTGAAATATCACCTATATCTCATAATTATTATCTTTATATATGAATTACTGTGAAAAGAATGGACAAGACAGTGACAGGCCATTACTTTGATGAAATCTGACAGACTGATGCCACTCTGTTCTTCACCACAGATGTACCAGCCCCTTCCCTCTCTGCTTCATGAAGTAGAAGCTCAGTCACAGTACACTGAAGCTTTTATCTAATTATTCTTTATCAATAAAAACTCAGGAGTCAAATATCAGGATAAGATCCTGAACAATCAGTACAGTAAAGAAACCAGTCTTGTTCCCCCATCCAAAAAATGCTAAGACTACTCTCTGTTCTTAGTCCTCCAAAATCTCTATGGTTAATTTTGGTCAGCTAGTAGTTAGCTCCACCCTCTGATTTAAAACAACTTTATTGGCAGTCTCGGGGTGGTCAGAATCCAATCAAAATATCACAGAATAGTATACCACAGTGACAGCTGGACGCCACAGGGGGAGAGGAACATTTGTTTAGAACCACACCGAACTGGTGTGAAGAATGTAAGAGATTAACTAAAAACAAAAGAACACAAATCCACTTGCTGCCTGGCACTCGTTGGCTTTCTCATGATGCCCAGTGATGTCCCTGGACAGTAGGAGGCCCAGCAGCTTTCCTGAGGGGGCATGGGAACAGAAACCATACCTGACTGAGCCCCTGCTGGATGTCAGGGCTTTTATTACCTGGTCAACTGACAAAAGGCAGAACCCAAAAGCCTTTCCCGTCCAGGGCAGTGGTTCAACCTTCCCAACGCCTTCACACTTTAACAGTTCTTCCACATTGTGGTGATCCCCAACCATGAAATTATGTTGTTGCTACTTCATAACTATAATTTTGCTACTGTTATGAATCATGATGTAAATATCTGTGTTTTCCAACTATGAAACAGCTATGACACACACAAATACACACCCCGTCCCCGTCACGACCCACAGGTTGAGAACTGCTGTTCTCCAGGCAGTTACCAGCAAAGCTGCTGAAATAAAGATGAAGTTAGGGGAAAGTGTATGGGAGCGGATGAGAATTCTGAAGGAATGGACTCACTGACTGCCAGACAAGATGAATGCTGTCTGTCTGGGACAGAAGTAACGACCTGTGTGGGAGGGGATTGAGCAAGAGGGCGAACAAGCCAGTGAGCCGGCAGGGTGGCCCAGCGTGGCTCTTTCCTGTTCCTCAGAGCTCGCTTTGTCTCTTGGAGCAGTAGGAGTGTGTCAGGCTCAAAGCTCAGAGTCAGATTTACACTCAGCCACTGAGTGACAGTGACAGAGACATAGCTTAAGCACTCTGAAGACCGAGGAAGGATTGTTCCTGCAGTTATTTATATGAGCACCAACTCCTAATCATTCAGTCCAGGAGGTCTTACTAACTAAGCACTACGTCTCACAATGCAAGAATAATCTGAGGAATTTCTTGTACATCTGCACAGATGCTAGTTACTGTTTTGAGTATATTCTGATAAAGTAAAAAGGTACAAATCCGAGCCTACCAGGGTAATCGGAAAATATCTTAGTGCTAGGCATTGGCTCATGCCTGCAATCCCAGCAGTGAGGAGGTAGAGGCTGGAGGACCAGGAGTTTAAGGCCACTCTTGGCTACAAAGAAAGTTCTAGGCCAGTCTGGGATTTACAAGATCCTGTCTCAAAGAAACAAAACAATCCACCTATGGAAAAGTGCTGCTAGAATGAATACATATGAAACAGTCACACAGATAAATAAGCAACTTCTGGAGATTGAAAATAAGCAAAAAACAAAACAAACAAACAAACAAAAAACCCAAAAGCTATCTCAAAATAGCTTAACTGCATTTGGAAGTATTCAGTGGCTTGAAAAGACCAGGGCAATTGGTTCCTTGAAGACCATGGCTGGAAAGCTTCATTTTTTGCCTGTGTAGCTCCATGTGACAGAAGAGAAAGACTACTTAACAATGGCACAGAGCTCATTTTATAGTCAGACATGGGAAATACTCAAATTTCCCACTAATTAAGAACAAGGTGCCAGGTGACGTTGCATGCCTTTAATTCCAGCACGGGAGGCAGAGGCAGGTGGATCTCTGTGAGTCTGAGACCAGCCTGATTTACAGAGCTAGTTCCAAGATAGCCAGAGCTACACAGAGAAACCCTGTCTTGAGAAAACAACAACAAAACAAGCAAATAAACAAGAGAACAAGGTATTTCTATCATAGAAGGAAAGCACCCTCTCTTTCCCTGAGAGTAACTACGGTACGGTGTGGCCCTGGCCAGGCTCACAAGATGGCAAAGTCCCTGAGCCAAATTACAGATATTTCAGAGCCATCTGGGCCTTGCCTCAGCAGTCTCTAGACACAGCTTAACTGAGAACCAGAATTCCTTAGGCCCTTAAGGTTGGGGTGTAGCTCAGTGGTAGAAAGCTTGTCTCATGTGTATGAGGTCCTGAGTTCTAACCCAGTACAACCCCCCAAAACATCAAAACCAAACTCCATTATTTAAAAAGATGCAACTCCTAAAAGATTTTGTTTAAAAAGTTTGCCACAAAATATTTTAGTATTGTTTTTCAGTTTCTCATTTTCCCCTCTTTCAAATACATGTAGGCTTCAATAAAGGTTCTCTATTCATACATCATTTTAATTTATACAGCACACTTACTCTCTGAAGGTCCACTACAGGCAGTATAAAGAAACGGAAGGCGATCTGTATACACAATTAAATCCAGCCTGTAGATCAGTGGACTGCTATTTTTTTTTTAGGGGAAATGTTTTCAGTGTTGCCATGGCTGGGGTATCAGACATCTAAACTGAGTGGGGGTTCAGGAAGCCTGAGAACCAGAGGCTGGAGGGGAGCAGAAGGCAGATTTATTGTGTTGTGTACCTACTACTGTGGGCAGGGAGAGGGCCCCAGAGCAAGTTCCAAAGCTTTATTACCTGAGATTTACACTCTGGAAAAACAATCAAGGCTGAGTGACTAATGCACACCTCACAAGAGATTTGGGTTTGGCTCTGATGAAAGAACATGTACCGACCTGAAAAGGGCTACATGAGATTAGAGAGAATCAGATCAGCACCGAGTCCCAGCGAGAGCCCTGGCCACTGGGACAACTCTTTCCCAGGGAGCTGTTGAATTTCAGCCTCCAAGCCTCATTCCATGTGTGGCTGGCTCACTTTTCATCATCCCGTCCATAGTTAATAGTTTGTAAAGCCTGAGCTATGAGCGTTGCCATCTCTCTGGTACCAGCAGCGACGACTCTACAAGACATAAGGTCAAGGGGTCCACCTGTGGACAGAGAGGAGAGCAGCCATCTGAGTTATGGGAGCCTGGACAACAGCCTTGCACAGCAACTTCTCACAGATTCGCGCAGAGCAAAAACAGCTCACAGGCCTGAGGTGGAGTCCCAGGGCTGACATCCAACAGCGGCCAAGAAATGAGCCTGGCTGTGTGGAAGGCATGGCCACTCTTGCTACCGACTCTGCGCTAGTGGGAATGTGGCCAAGGCTGCCCCATTTCACACAAGGTTCTGTGAAATGCAAAACTGGGAGAGACCAGGACAGGAGTGGATGGTCCTGTGTCTCACCACACAGCAGGCTGCTGCGACCGAGCCGGGGTGATGGGCTTCCCTGACTCAGTAGATGTGGGAGGGCCAAGCCCGACTTCCCCGATGGTCCATGACCTTCCTGGGTGCACAATATAGGAGCCATCACACCCAGTGAGGACAAACACACAGATTCAGGCCTCAAGGTGCTCGAGTGATAAACCCCCGAGTGTGAGACTGTCCTGTACCGTTCACTGCCAAAGGCCAGCCAACCTCACATTTATACCCATGAGGAGATTCAAACCTCTCAGCAGATAAATAGGATGAAGGAAGAAGCCAGACTACAGAAGATCCACTTTCTACACCGGATAGTTAAAAGCAGGCCACAGCATTTTTGCTAACAAACTCTAAATGAAAATCAAGGAATGGGTCTAACAAGATTTGCCAGAACTCAGGGGAGGGGCTTTGGGAACTAAGTGGTCGAGCAGATTCGTATGGGGCTCAGGTATGCTCTACATGGGAGGACCAGTGACTGGGACTCAAAGCAGGACAGAAGGACAGAACCACTTCTGGGTACCGGGCTACAGCTCTGGGGGCAGTGTCCGCCCCGTCTACCAACTGGATTGCTGTGGAAGTGTGACTGTAGGATGCTACCACTTCTGTACTAGCCAACTGGCCTTCACTTATGTGTGAGGAAGGGCAGGACCAAAGCCTTCTACGGTTGGCATGCACCCTGGTGTAGTCTCATCTGCAGGATTCAGAGGAAGTGAGGGATTCAACGTGGTGCAGACCTGGAGCGTACTCTACGCAGTGTCACCTGTTAGGGTCTGGTGGTGAATGTGGCCAGGGCCATGGAGCTTACCTGAGGTGTCCATCACAATGCCACCTGCTTCTCTGATGATGACTGTAGCAGCTGCCAGGTCCCAGCAGTGAAGGCCAAACTGATAATAGGCATCAGCAGCGCCTGAGGCCAGGTAGCAGAGCGCCAGGGTGGAGCTTCCAATCACCCGGACCCTGGGGGGCAAGGGAAGGGAGGATGTGGGTGATCGAGAGGGTACCTACCATGACAAGACTGATGCTTATCTCATCACCCTCTGCTAGGGATTCCGCCAGCAAGCTCGGGACACAGAGTGCAGGCCTGGAGTGAGGGGCCTTGGCAGACGACTTTTCCACAATGACATTAGTGTGTCACTACGGCTGGTCACCAATGCAGCCAGAGGCCTGAAGTTCTAACTCTATTCAACATCAGAAGGCTACATGTAGGGCCTTCGAGTGGTTGGTGGTTACCACACAGATGAGAGGGAGGCGAGGATGCACTAATTTTGACTTAAGCACATGTGAGAAATAAATAGCTAACAGTTTATCTAGCAGGTATGTCCAACCCATGGCCCACAGACCATATGTCTTAGGCTAGGTACGAATGTGACCCAGCCTGTTTACAAATACAACACCATAAAAAAACATCGAATGGTTGCACACCGTGAGTAGTGAGTGAGAATGGCCCCCTAGGTGTTTATGGCACATACATTTCAGTACTTGGTCCCCAGCTGCTGGGAGGTGTGGCCTGGAAGTGTTGTCACCAGGGGTGGGCTCTGAGGCTTCAAAAGCCCCCCCCCCATCATTCCCCAGCTATCTCTCTTTGCCTGTGGTTGTTGTCTCCAGGCGCGAGCTCTCAGCTGCTGCTCAGGCACCGTGCCTGTCCTGCCGCCATGCTCGCCACCATGACAGCCAAGGACTCTGTCTGAAACTGAAAGTCCCCAATAAACTCTTCTGTAAGTTGCCTTGGTCATAGTGTCTGATCACAGCAATAGAAAAGTAACTTTAGACACCCCTGGTCCAAAGCAAGGCCACTGAGAAACGCTAAAGACCCATAAGACTCATTGGTTGAGGGACCCAAAATTAGTTCTCAAGCAGACTAGAACGACACAGGACACATCCGTTTCCTGACACCTGGCAGCCAGAGTGTTCGGTGGATGATGGCGCATGGCATGCCTCTCTGAGCCTGGTGCCAGCGGCCTCCTATCCTACCTCTCTTGCCGCCTCCTCTTCACATCCCTTGGGAGTGCTTAGCCAAAGCACATTTGGTTTTCAACCCACTGGCTACGGGACTGAGGACCTGTACCCATGAGCCTTGGCGTGTAGCAGCCGCTCCATGTTGCTCAGGAATACTTTCAGAGTATCGGGGTCACGTTTGGGCCCAATTTCTGTCAGAACCAAGGCCTTCGAGATATCTGCAAGAAAGAATTTCCTGTTAACACAAGCACCGAGTCTAGGATCAGATGGGAGTCATCAGGGCTCCCACAAGAATGGCTTATTTCCCCGAGTCTTTCTGCTGTGATGGGCAGAGAGTGAAACTAACCTGCTCTAATCCAAGCTGTTGCTGCCTCGCAGAGTTGTTTGTGCAGTACTGGCTACCAAGGATCACTCCCCAGTTGCCTCTTAGGGACATCCCACTATACAGAGGTGCACATGGACCTCAGGAGAACTCAGTGGCTTATAAAGATAGCCACTGTCAAATGATCCCACACTGGCAACATTCCATATCTGAACATGAAAAAGCACCTCATCAAATACACCTTCCTATGATGCTCCAATCTAAGAGTGGGCCTCTTCCTGTGGAGGTGACTTAGGATCTGTGGTGTGACCTGGACGCAGAGGGGCTGACACTTGGAAACTCATAGCCACCTTCACTCCAGAGCCACCTAAGTGCTCACACCAACAGCTCAGATATGTCACAAGGTGACAGTACTGAGCAGAGAGCCTGGCTGTGGGTCAGGAACATGACTGAGACTCACTGTGGGGGATGTCAGGACCAATCTGTCCTTGTGTGTGTCACATATGCCAAACTGGTCCTACCTCAGTCACTCCATGACTACAGGCAAACAGCCTCCAAAACAGTCCTCCACATTCCAGATACTCTCGCTCCTGTCTATACTGGCAAGCTCTTAATACTACAACGAACCATGGTGAATCCTACACACAACTATAAAGGGGCAAACAAAAGAACAGAATATCATCAACAGTCAATGGAAGAACACTTGAAAACCTGCCCATAAACTAGAAATAGTATGAAACACAGCAAAACTCAAAATCAGAGGGCACAGAGCTTAGGGGAAAAAAAAGTATTTCAGACAGTGATTAGAAGGAACATAAACTAGGAACTACAGGGCTGGCTCGGAGGTTAAACCTGCTCTTTCTGAGGACCAGTCTGGTTCCCAGCACCCACACTGGACGGCTGGAAACCACTTGTCACTTCTGGACCACGAGGGCATGTAAGAAAAGAACATCAGGTTTTTATAATAGATGTCCCAAAAGACAGAACATAAAGCAATAGCTAAGAAAAATAAATGCTAACAATCATAATTCAAGAGTACTTTGGTGAAGTAAAAAGAGATATTAAATATTCAAAGAACCATGTCCCCAGCAGAAATGACTCAGTTCTGAAGTCAACCTTAATAAAATTATTGTGGTCTAGCGACAATATAAAAACACCCCACAAAAACAAACAACAAAACACCAAAATTCCCCTGGAAGAAGAATAAAGTCCCTTACAAGTGGAAGAAAGTAAACTGTCACCAGGTGTGGTGGCGCTTCTGTAACCCCAGTGTTCAGAAGGGAGAGGCAGGAGGGCTGAGTTTAAGGCCAGACTGTGTTACACAGTGGGACCCTGTCTTACAGAGAAATCCGTTTTTGAACTGTTCACTTTTACCAACACTATCTGCCAGCACACAATGGGGACATTTTAGATGCTTGACACAGAAGAGGCGAGCCTTGGATTTTATTGCTAGAAAAACAAACTTACAAGTAAAAGGCCAACGATAAGCTGTAATGAACACAAGGAAGTCAGATGACACTGTTCTCATGAACCCATCCTGAGGGGTCAACTAGGACTTGACTCTCGAAGTGCGGTTCCCATCACTTTCCATCGGCTGCTCCGTTAGCACACTCCCCACTGAGTCTGGTTATGGCTGTCTTCACTATGCTGACCACAGCAAGCACGGGACGTGGGTGTCCCCACCAAAGTAGCCCATGGACTCACCGTCCCAGCTGATACTAACATAGGAAGTTCTCCTGCCACACACAGTAGGAAGACAGCAAGTGTCCTTCACAGTTCTGAAGCTGTGAATATTACAGTAAGCAGGCAGGCAGCCAGGGGAATTTTTTTTTTAAAAGATTAAAAAGAATTATTTATTTTTATCTCATTTGCACTGGTGTTTTGTCTGCATGCATGCCTGTATGAGGGTGTCAGATCCCCCTAGAACTGGAGTTAAAGACAATTGTGACCTGCCATGTGGGTGCTGGGAATTGACCCTGGGTCCTCTGGAAGAGCAGTCAGTGCTCTTAAGCACTGAGCCATCTCTCCAGCTCCATAAGAACATGTTTTCTTTCGAGTTTCTTGAGACAGGGTTTCTCTGTGTAGCCCTGGCTGTCCTAGAACTCACTCTGTAGATCAAGCTGGTCTCGAACTCAGAGATCTGCCTACCTCTGCCTCCAGGACTGCAATATTGGGATTAAAGGAGTGGGCCTCCACACCCAGCTGCCAGAGGATTGTGAGAAGCTAAAATTATTATGACTTGAGTGAAATGAAAAAGGAAAAGTGAGCCCTCCAATTACCAACAGCACCAGATACAAATTCAGGTGGAGTTTAGAACTTGGGTGAACTTGTGTCAGGGGTGGTTGTGCATGTGTGTGATCCAGCAACAAGCACTTAGCAGCCAGAGGCTGCTGCAAGTTCAAGGTCTGCAGCCGCGGCAGCCCATTTCAAACATCAAGCAAAAGATGAAAACTTGGGAAAACGTGTATCTTTCCCAACAGTTAAACACTTCAGACCTCCTGCTGCATCTACCAAGTGCTGGAATACAGGGCCTGCACCGCCACACCCCTGCTACCTACAATCACAGCTTAAAAAAGAGAAAAAAAAAGACAAGACAGGGTCTCTCTAGTGTGTAGCTCTGGCAGTCCTGTAATTTGCCATGCAGACCGGGATGGCCTTGAACTCCAGGAGATCCATCCACTCTGCTCCTGCCCCCCAGCTCCAAAAGCCTGGGGTTAAAGTCCTCCGAGATCATGCCCAGCCTCTACAACTCTCTACGTTTCCCCTGCAGCTGCTTAGAGCATTGCCAGCTAGAGTTCTGAGAGGCCACCTACTGCACTCTAGGCATAGCCTCAGGTGTCAGAATGGGGACCTGGAGCCAGTCTGTGTACTGCCCAGACACCGTGACATCTGTGACCAGAGCCGAAAACAGCACATTGGATTTCAAGTCACAAATGTGCTTTGCTGAGGTGAGGACAGTGTGCAGAAGGGAGGTGAGTGACATCGAGGGCAGAGGGTTTAGGGGCAGCGGCTCCTTTCTACCCAGTTCCCCAGTGCTTCCTGGGCCCAGGCATGTGGAAGCCAGACTAAGTGTCACCCTTGTGCAGTTAGGAGGTGTCAGAGCAGAGGTGGGAAGATCTACCAGAGCCTGCAGTCACCACCGGATGAACTGTGAAGGCAGCCAACCAGGAAGTGGGTGTGTGAATAGTTTAGTGGCACATATCAAACGAAATCTGGAGCAAAGTTCAGCCGGGCATGTTCAATGGCTGGCCTCCTCACCCTGCCTTTCCCAGCTAGGCTTGGATGGATGCCCTTTGCCAGCATGGCTGGAATTCAAACCACCTCATAGCCAAACTAAACACTCTGGCAGAAGGGGAAATAGGGCAAGGTACTCTTTCTGGCCCGCTGTGGGGTCAGAGCACTGGCTGGCCAGTCGTCCCGTCCTGCTGGGGAGCCTCATAGCATTCCTGTGAATTCCACTCCCTCCGCTCTGGGTCCACGCACACTCCCAAGCTTTCCTCCCCAAAGGTGGTGAGCATGTCCACACACAGCGCCTTTACACAGTAGGTCAGCTCGTCACAGGCTGGCTCCTGCCACCCTTGATGGTTGCAGGGCTGGCTAGGGACAGCAGCATTAACTAGGGAGGATTAAACAGTGGGGAAATAGAGGAAGGGTACACGGAAAGGAACCGGGCAAAGATAAACCCGCAAAGGGCACAGACAGGAGGTCTCGAAAGGCAGCAGGCAGGCTGGGAGCCAAGCGCTGTCACCTTGGGACGGATGCCAGGATCGGCAAACAGAAAGCTGGGACTAACTCTGAGGTCCTTTATGATGTGCAGCCTCTATCACTAAGTTAGACAAGAGAAGAGGCTGCGACTGCCACCCACGACCCGCCCAGTGCTGCAGAGTGAATGAGGGCATGTTAAGCGGGCATTCCACCACCAGCACTCACTACCTTTCCCAACTCAACTATGCAGATGTGCAGGGTTTTTTAAAAGTCTTCCTCTCCCACAGCTGCTTCTCTTCTGGCCTCTCCCCTTCCTCTTCTCCTCTCAATCTGTACACTGCCACGTCTCCACCTAACCAACGTACACAAAAAGCCTGGCATCTCTCTGCCGTCCACCCTACCTATCCTATTTGAAAAAAACAAAACAAAACAAAACAAAAAACAAAACAAACAACAACAACAAAAAACCCCAATGCTAGTTTGATCACTATGGGGACAAAGGGAGGAAGGAACCCCCAGCTGGCACACTGTTAATGGCAGGCAGTTCCACAGTTTACCTCCCAATGTCATTGAACCGCTACACTGACAGCCTTTATCTTGGCAGTAGGCCTGAGGCACATGCTAACACTGCTTCTCTACATAGCTCATCCCCACCGTGCTTGTCCTAACATCCAGAGCATAGATCAAAATCGAATGGCTACAGCCATGGGTACCACTGAGCTGTGTCCAGATGTTCTGCTGGGCCTCGGCCACAGTTTCAATCGTAGTCCTACCAGACCAAACTAACCAATAACTGCCACTTTAAAGACGACAGATACAAGAGGACATAATAATGCATTCAGGTGTTGCACTACACAGAGTAAGTTGTGCCCATCTCCACTTGGGACATGGCATCCCCACACAGAGCTGTAACTCTCCGCAGAGTGTAATAGAGACACTGGTCACTTCCCATTCACCTGTCTTTCACAGCCTGAGAGGAGATGACGAACCCCACCTGTCTCCCTGGAGACCTGGAGTCGCTGGCCGTTGCAGAAGGCACCCTGGCCCCTCCTGCCAGTGTACAGCCGCTCCTCAGTGCAGTGGTGAATCACTCCAAATTCCAGCTATAAAGGGCAGGAAGAAAGCGGATGCATGTTACTCCTTGACACAGAAGTTAACAGCTGTCTAAAAACTGAAGGCTTCTCTTAGAGCTGGAACCAGTACCATGCCAACAGGATGGAAACTGGCTTCCAAAAAGGAATGGAGAAAAGCCAACCTCAAACTACACCTGGATGTGAAAGCAAGCTGTTTCTTAGATGAACATATTAAAACATCATTAATGCCAATAGAACCCTATTAAAGCAATCATGATAAACTATTGAAAGCTTCAATCTTTAAATCTTTAGAATGACCTCTCTCTCTTCCATCCTACCCTTCCTCTGGCAAAAGAGCTGCAACTGAAAGAAAAAACAAAAAACAAACATCTTAGGTGCTGTCCAGGTTGCTGGTGTGTGAAGAGCTGGGCACACATCTCCATAGAGCCAACTGAACTGGGACCCCATGGACATCCCCAGGGAGCATGGCTACTGGGCGGAGAGGGCCCCTGTGCAGGCAGAATCTACAGGGACAATATCAACAAGTGGGTGCCGACGAGGAAGTGACAAGCCCCCCGCTCGATCACTGCTGTCTCTCGTTCTGCCTGCTTTTCACCGCCTGTGTGTGTCAGGAGCCACATGCCCATTGTTAGGGAGCTCAGGATGGCTTAGCAGTCAGGTGAGCCCTCAGGTAAGCTCAGTCCCCCAGAAATGGGTACCCAGCTTAAAGAACAGGTTTATTTCTGGATGGGGACTCCCAACAGTGTGTGGCTCTCCAGCAATACTTACTTGCCAACCCCACCCGCCATGACTCTGGTTACAGCATGACACCCAAATCTAGGCATCAGAATTGTGTGGGTCTTGACCAGCTGTGGTAAGGTCCCACGATCAAGGGAATCAAGGGAAATGTCCTATGGGCAGGAGGAAAGGTAGAGTTGCTTCCTAGGTTGGCCCCTGACTGTGCTCTGTATCTAGAAACACACACAGGACATAACTGTAGGGTTCAACCATACTGAGCGCCTGTCTGACCTTTGTGGCTCCAGTCTACTGGCAGCCCTGACTCCTGTTACGATAACCTGGTGCCTAGGAGAAAATCCATGCTCGCTGGTCTCCGTGACAACACCAAAAAGAGAAAATAATGGCAATACTAAAGTGCTTTGAGGTATGTACAAATTCTTGTTCCATGAGGGGAAAGTATGCTGCTGTTGAGGACAGCAGTGCCATGCTATTCTCAAGGGGGCATCTGGAGACGACATGGAGCCCCGACTCTGCTCTCACTCCTGTATCAGCCTCTACCCCCTGCCTTCCCTCCAGGGCTCATGCTATGGCTTACTTCATAAAGTCTCTGGGAATCCTGATAGGGCCATGTTCTCATACTAATAGCCAGGAGGGACAGAAGAATAGAATATTGAGATTAAAAATGTCATCCAAAAATAGGAGCTCCCTTGTTTGTGACCAGATCACACGCTCTCGGGGTCAGATGGAGACTCACTCTGACCATCTGCTTGGAACATCACTTTCCATAGCGGCTCTGACTAGACCACAGCAAAAAGGAGCCAGCCCAGCCTGGGAGATAAGCCCTACAACACCCTTACAAAAATCCTTCTGTGGTTCTACACTTTCTTGGATTTGAAAAACACATACTTGGATGGACTAGTCAGGGCTAAGACACAAGTGAAAACGCAATGCAGAGGCGGAAACCAAGCAAGGAGGGTCACCTTACCTCCTGGTGAACTGCAAATCCGATGCTAACTGCCACAGTAGGGAACCTGCAAGGGAAGATGGATGGGTTACACATTGCATAGGGACACTAGTTCTCAGGAGCGGAGCTGTGTGAGGCTCCCCTCCCCTCCAGGACACAAAGGCCTTTCTGCTCTCTGTTGGGTTTGACTTTCAAAATGACTTTCCAGTTTCACTCACTGCTTCCAATATAAACAGACTTAGCTAGCCGTGCTGTAACATAGCTAACTTAGAGCAACAGCTGTGCTCTGGAAGCCATGTTAAGACTGACAACAATTTAACAAGGAGCACATAATACCAGTTAGGAATGATTTTAATAACCACACTTCTGGCTCTCAAAAACCCAAGCCAGTAGAGACTCTGAAAAAGGCCAACTCCTATTTGAGAACGTATGTGGAGGACCCAGTAGATGATGTCACAGACCCTGGGCTGAGGCACCACACAGACGCAACCTTTCTGTAGTGCTAAGATCTCCATCCTTTCTTCTGCCTGAGCTCCCAGCAAGCAACAGCAGTGGTAGAGGGATGGCTTCAGGTCTGTGGCTTACTTTCCTCAGTTTGTTGCTGGGTCTTAAAATAATCTCTCCTTTGTGTAAGGATCATAGGCGCTTAAAAAACAGGAAGGGGGCAAGGAAGGACCAAGTACTGTTAACTCACACAGAAAAATATCAACCAAGACCACAACCAGAATCCTGTGCAGAAACCCTGAAGGGCAAGGCCAAGCCTCCCTGTTTCCTAGGCAGGCTCCTCACAGCATTCCCTCAGCCACGTTGGCTATGGGCCCAGCACCACAGGCTGCAGCTGTGGCCTTCACGTCCTGGGACTGCCAGGTCAATATTAGAGCCTGTTTCTCAGAGTGTCCTCTTTCCAGCCCGATTCCCCTGGGAGCTGCAGATTAGGAAGCACTAGAGATCCCAAGGTCACCTGAGCCATAGATGACGACCTTAACATGAACGTGCGGCCTTCGGCTGGAATGTGGTATGGACACCAAATCCATGTTATGAGTACCTTGGATGACAAACCAGAAGACAGAGGTAGGTGCCCCACTTGGCAAAACATACTGACAGGAGGGGTCACTTTAGTGAAGGGACAGCCTGGTGGGCAGACGGTGGCACTACTCCACAGCGTCAAAAGGGTCCCCTTGTTCATCCTGCATGTTAGTTCAAGGTTAACTAACAGTCACCACACAATGGTCATGCTCGATGTGTACTTGGAACTAACTACTTGGCATGTAAGCGTAGCATGGAGGCTCTCACAGGCTAGGCACCCCACACCTGGCTCTGCTTACCTTACTGTTCAACATGGCATGTACACACCCTGTGAGTGTGAGTCCAGGGGTGGGGAGTGCTGGCAGCATAGGAATGTTTCCAGGGAATGGCAAGTTAAAATACCCACCCTCTGTGGAAGCCACATCACCTATTGTACCTCTGGGTCTTGGCTCCTTCTAAACGGCTGTGGACAAGTCTACACAGCTCCCTTACCTGTCACTGCCAGGGACCTTCTAGGTAGCTCTTCAGCCTTACTCCCATAAGCCCTGTCTGCAGTCGCGGTGTTGACTCCTCTGAGAGAGACTCTCAAATCTCACTGGCCCATCCTGGCTCTCTGAACCTCAGCCCCAGGCTTCCTTCCCTAACTCCACCTCTTTTATAGGGGCAACTTGTCAAAGCAGTTGCTCTTCAATCCAACTCAGTGTCTCAGAACTGTAAGCAATCCTCTAAATTAGTTTCATCTATAGGCAATTTTCCACTTTTAAAGTACAGTAAGATATTTAAGGGCAGGGAGAGCAGGTCTCAAACCCGCGATCCCATCTTGGCCTTTGGATTATAGGCCTGTAATAGTCAAAAATTCTTAAGGGGGGATTTCAATGTAGCTCAAGCTGGCCTTGAGCTCCTGATTCTCCTCTTTCTCTACCTCTCAAGTGTTGGGATTACAGGTGCATGTCACCATACCTGCACACAGACAGACACACGCACACGCACGCGCGCGCGCACACACACACACACAGAGGAATGACAGGGTCTTAGTATATGGCCCTGGCTGGGCTGGAACTCACAAAGATCTACCTATTTCTACCTCTAAGTACTAGAATTAAAGGAGAATTAAAGGTGTGTGACTACATGCTTAGAAGAAAATATTTCTAAAACAAAATTTCCTTCCCATATTCTTTAGAATCACAAATGGAACCCCACCCTACCCCACCACTAAGACAGGGTATTTCTGTGCAGCCCTGGCTGTCCTGGAACTCACTCTGTAGACCAGGTTGGCCTTGAGTGCTGAGATTAAAGGAGTGCACTACCATTGCTTGGATAGAAAACCTTTTTTGATTTTCTTTTACAAGACTAGACACCATATATGTGAAAACCTAGAGGGCACATGGAGCTCTGAGCCTGCAAGCTCCCAGGTCCTCCTCACCTGTGCACGAAGTTACAGGTGCCGTCGATGGGGTCGATGATCCAGGTTGGGCTGTGGGTGAGCACACACTTGGCCCCGGAGGCTGTGGCCTCTTCTGCAATGAACCTGCTGGGACAGGGGGCTCAGCCTGAGTCAATGTCCAACATTCAGCAGCAGAGTGTGTGTAGCAGGCACATGGCTCTGGGTCCCCAGTACAAAATACCCCCCTCCCCCAAACCAGAGTGACTTTCACTGTGGCAGTGTTGGAGGCACACAAGGGAAATGGAGCAGGCCAGGCAGAGCTACAGGAGTGCTGAACACCTGACAGAGTGCAGAGGCAAGCAAAACTTGGTTCCCATTTCAGCAGCAGAAGCCCGAGAGGTCATGCTGGCAGGCAGAGCAGAACCCAGGCCACGGAAGAACAGCTGTCACCCACATTTCCCTTCACTACAGACGAGCCTCTACTCTCCCCTCCTTGGCAGGAATGGGCTTTTCCTATGCCAAGGACCCTGCTTAATGTTCTGACTGACTTATGCATTCAGCAGATATTGCTGTGTGTACAGGGCAGCAGGTTACAGTGACCTCAAGGGGGCAGAAGGCAGCAGGGACACTGAGCAACTGCTCAAGCCGCCACCCTCTTCCCCAGTTCAAAAGAGCCTCAAGAGAAGAGATGACCACAGAGTTTATATTAGTAATATGTCAGCACAATGAGAAACGAAGACACCAAAACACAGAATCAAACAGACAGCTAATTCCCTTAAGAGATTAGTAAACAGACAGTTCCCTGTCCAAACACTCAGAGGAAATGCAAACTAATAAACTTAGAGATGAAAAAGGGGTTTTTAAACAGACTCCAGTAAAATTCAGGAGCTCACAGACTACTCCAGTATAGCTCTAAAGGAAATGCACAAATCCTCTAAATATAAACCTACCAAAATTAACACCAGAAGATACAAACAATGTACATAGGCCGTAATAAGCAATGAGATCGAGGCAGTAACTTAAAAATCCTTCCACAAATAAAAGTTCAGGATCAGATGGATCCACTACTGAATCCTACTAAACCTTTAAGAAGTCAACACTTCTCAACTGTTCTACGGAGCAGAGAGAGGACACCACCAAACTCATTCAAGTCAGTACTGACTAAATAATTAAATACAGCATTATCTAAATAATGGATAAAGAGTGAAAAAAACAAAACAAAACAAAACAAGACTACAAGATGCAAAACTGACAACAAAGTACTTGCAAATGGTTCAGGGCCACACTGAGAAGATCCTACATCACAACCAAGCTGGTTTCTTCCTAAAGATACTGAGCCGGTTCAACACTGCAAGTCATGTAATACTCCATATAACCAGGTTTCAGGACAGACATGTAATTCATCCTACCGACAGACTTAAGGATGGAAACCATCTTGACAGATGCAAAACAGGCATTTGACATAGCTCGTTTCTATCATGACTTCATCATAAGTTCTGAAGAGACTAGGACTAGACAACACATACCTGGGGGGGGGGGAGTATATGGCAAGACAACAGGCAGATACATCCAATGCTGAAAACTGAGATTTTCCTCTAAAACCCGAAACAAGACAAAGGAGGAGCCACCACTGTCTCCATCCTATTCAATGAGGTGTTCAGAGTCACAGGCTGAGCAATTAGACAAGCGAAAGAGATAAAGGTTAAAAACCGGAAAGAAGAAATCAAGGTAGATGAAATGAGTCTGTGCAGAAAAGACTCCACCAGAAAGCTTCTGGATCCAGTAAGCTCCGTGGTGGTGGCTTGAATCAGAATGGTCCCCAGAGGTTCATGTAATTGAATGTTTAGTCATAGGGAGTGGCACTACTTAGAAGGATTGGGAGGTGTGGCTTTGTAGGAAGATGTGTGTCACTGGGGGTGGGCCTTGAGGTGGCAGAGGCTCAAGCCAGCCCACGTGTCTCTTCTCCTGCTGCCTAGGGATCCATATGTAGAACTCTCAGCTACTTCTTCAACACTATGCCTACTTACATCCTGCCATGCTCCTTGCCATGCTAATGGACTAAACCGCTGAAACTGTAAACCAGCCCCAATTAAAGGCTTTCTTTTATAAGAGCTGCCATCGTCATGGTGTCTCTTTGCAGCCGGTTGTTTGATGTAGCACTTTTTCTTTTCCCATTGCTCTTGAATGACAAGTAGACTTTAAAAAGCTAAAACTGGAGGCTGGGGGTTTAGCTCAGTGGTTGAAAACTTGTGTAGCATGCTCAGGGCATGGGTTCAACTTGATGCACCTCCCCAAAGAGAACACTGAAAAGTAGTAAAAGGATGTATCTATCTCAACAAAAACATGTTGACTCATGCATTTATCCACAGGGGGAGAAAAAAAAAATAGGTGACGCCTATCATGTCCTGAACAGACTCTGAGGGGACTACCATATGCATTTTTGTCACCCATGGCCACACAGATACAGAGCCAGAGTAGAATAATCAACACCCAGAACTCCAGGAACTACCATCCCAGTTTTAGAAGTTAAATATTGTTATGAGATGTCACACGAGGAAGGAAAGGGAGGCCTGGAATCCAAGGCCCTGGTCTTCAAGATCCATCCTGTAGAAACCAGGGGCCAGGAAGGGAGGGGTGTCCTATAGTCCTTCCAGTCATGGCTCTTCTAGAGCTACGTGTACAATGCTCAGTAAATATTTTAGTTATCCTAAGGAAAAGATATAGTCAATCCTCTACAAGTGGCCCAAGAAGATGAGGAAAGGGGATACTTGTTAAGGCCTGTGTCTCACTATGGACATTGTCCCCAGCAAGGGTGTCTGTTACTGAATACTGACAGTGGACAGAGTCTTACACAGGTGATGTTTTACCCTGTGCTCTTAAGATACGTCCCTGGGTGGCTGGGACAGCACCACTGTCATTTTGAGTTTCAAAAGTAGCACGTACTTTAACAGCCCCTCTGGAGTCAGAGGCAGGGAGTGCTTCTGAACATGTGTTGAGAATAGAACCTCTGACACGCATAATATGCAATGCATACACACACCCACACACGCATGTACGCACGCACACACACACACACACACAGTTTAAAAAACTAGAAGAAAATATCAGTTTGAACAGATATCTTCTATGAGTAGATAAAGTTTCCATGGAGCTATAAGTTTACTAAAAGAAAAACCCAGGCCGGGCGTTGGTGGCGTATGCCTTTAGTCCCAGCACTCGGGAGGCAGAGGCAGGTGGATCTCTGAGTTCAAGGCCAGCCTGGTCTACAGAGCTAGTTCCAGGACAGGCTCCAAAGCAATAGAGAAACCCTGTCTCAAAAAACCAAAGCCAAAGCCAAACCAAACCAAACCAAAACACCCCAATGCATGGGTGGGCTACCTCCTTACAAGGTGTTAGTCAGGGAGGTCCTTGAAGCCCCCAAAACAACACAGGCTACTGCACTCCTGTGGTTTCCTACCAGAACTAGACGGCAAGCCCCTAAGGCTGAAGACAACAAACATGCTTTGGCAGAAGAAGTTAAGAGAAAACAAACTGGAACTGAGCCGAAGGCGCCTCCTTTAACTAGTTTTCATAGTACTGGAAGGTGCTGTGATGGCCTAGGAGGGAAGAAATGAACCTAATGGTCTTATTCTGCTGTGGACACTGTATTACCAACCTGCCAGGCAAGATGTGCCCACTTTCCGATTGGACTTGAGGTCCATTCCATAGCAGATCAGTGCTGCTGTAGATTCTGAGCAGAGAAACTACTTTCTGTAGTGGACAGTTACTGCAGAGACATATATAACTGGCCTAAGTGCTGGGAATAAATGACTGCTGGATGACTTTGCCACCCTTCTCCAAGGCTTGGGGAACACAGAGGAAGAGGGAGCAGAAAGAACTGAAAAGCCAGAAGAAGGGGTGGAGTGTTGCACAATGTCATCATCCGGGTACACACAACCTGGCTGTTACCCTCTCAAACTCTTAGCAGTTATAATCACCTGCACACAATTGGGCCTGTCAACAGTCCATCATGGCATGGGAGGAGCTCGTGAGTCTCAGCCCCTTCCTGAAGACCTACAGGTAGTTAACTAATGGTTGCTAGGGAACGGGGCATTTTATTCAATGATGCAGGGATGCCTGGGCTTTGGTAAGCAGCCCCTTACCCTGTAATAACTCTTGCAAAACTCACTGGTTCAGAGAGAGGGAAGGGGCAGGATGGACAGACAGACAGACATGGAAGGAGAGGGACCAGGACACTAGCTGGAAAGAGAAGCACCAGAAGTTGGAAGGGGACAAGAGAGGGCAATGAGGAGTGAATATGATTGGACTATATTACATACATGTATGAAAATGTTATAATGAAACCCACTGTTACATACATGCTAATGAAAAACTAAAACAAGCAAACCAACAACCAAAACAAAACCCAAAAAGTTCTCATGTCTGGAAAAGAAACTATATTTTAAAGTCAGTAAGTACAATGTAAAGTAAATGACTAGTTCTTATCATGAAAACAAAGCTCTCATGTTTACTGATTGTACATATTAAGTATTCCTGGAAAAGGAACCTACAAATTAGTCTAACAAAATGATTTGTAATATACATTTTTAAAAAGCGGGGGCTGGAGTAATGGCTCAGTGGTTAAGAGCAGCAACTGCTCTCCCAGAGGACCCAGGTTCGATCCTCAGCACCCACATGGCAGCTCACAACTGTCTGTAACTCTTAAGAACTGACACCCTCACACAGAAATGCAGGCAGAAACAGCAATGCACATAAAATAAAGATAAATAATTTAAAAATAAAAAAGCAGAGGTTCTTCCATATTCCTAAGGAGACATAAGGACTGGACGGTTGTCAGGATAACAGTAAAGGGGAACAGAAGCAGTTAGTTTTCTTCCCTAAAAATGGAGGGACCAGGGCTTGGACTTGGCAACTTGGGGTTTCCCATCTGCGCCCCCCAGTGACAGGTAGCAGTGCCTCTCAGTAGGACACAGTACTGGGGTGTTACTGGAGCGTGCCTCTCAGCTGAAGAGAGCACTCACCTGTGGGAAGGAAACCGCTTCCGCAACTCAGAAACTATTAAGTCTTCTACACGGTGATCCGTCTCCGTCACAAGATCTGCAGCGGAAGTTTTTGTCGAGACACGCTTTTCTTCAGTGAGGGCTTTTCTGATAATCTGAAACGAGCATGGGAGGCAGTAAAACTACGGGCCTCCTCTGCCCCAGCCCCAGCCCCAGCCCTCTATTCTTCAGCCACTGGCTGGCTTTGGCTAGGGCCGGCAGTCATCCTCTCCTCCTTCACTGACTCATCCCACGCCCGCCTCTCAGGGCTTCTAGGAACCATAGCCACCAGCCCTTATTCCATTCCTGAGATGACTTCCCCATCTGAGATTCTACATTCAAATTCCATTTGAAACTCTACCTTTGAGACAAGTTTTTTTCTGGAAGAAAAGGTTTTGAAAAAGGCTGGAGTGTCATCCATGGGAACGCCCCAAAGGCATGTCATAGGTTTGCCTCCTAGAATTCTGTGATTTCAAATTCGCAAGATTTGTGTGTAACAATTTTCCATTGATTCACTTTTTGAACCACATATACATACACACACACACACACACTTTTTTTTCTGAGACAGGGATTCTCTGTGGCTTTGGAGGCTGTCCTCGAACTAGCTCTTGTAGACCAGTTTGGCCTCGAACTCACAGAGATCCTCCTGCCTCTGCCTCCCGAGTACTGGGATTAAAGGCATGCACCACCAACGACCCCTCTGATTCACTTTTATGAGTCACGCAAACACTCGGTGAGCCTGTGAATGCAAGCTACAAACTGAACTGTATCATAGGAACCGAGGCTGGCTCTTATGACTGAATGCAGAACAGCACCAGTCAATCTATAGGGACACATCAAAGATACCAGAGGCTGCTAAGGGACCACAAATGCAGGCTCTACAGCTGGGCAAGCTGCCAGCAACATCTGTTCTAAACCCACTATCTATAAGGGTAAGGCCTGGTTTGGCACCATTTCTGCTAGCCTGGGGTAGTCCCAGGAACCTCTAGAGACCCAAACAGGAAACCAGAGCAGTGGACCCATTGCTGAATGCTTCTGGAGGATCAATTCCAGCTTGTAAAAGAAAATGTCACCGCCAGGTCTATCTGGGGCTGTTTTCCCCAAGTCTGTCTATAACTGGATAAAACTGGTGGAGTCAGGAAACTTAAACAGGCCTGCCTATTCCCTCCAGAACCTGCTACCTCCCCAAACCACGTATTTCTCTCAAACGTGCCACCCAGAACTGGCAAGTGGACTCAAGAGGTGAAGTGCTTGCCACGAAAGTCTGATGACTTCAGTCTAATCTCCAGGATCTTCGTAAAAGCAGGATAAAAGTGAGACACAAAGTTTTCCTTTGGTCTCCACATGTCCATCATGGACAATATATATGGTCCCCCATACACAAATACATAATAAATTAATAAAAAAATACTACCCAGACTGGCTGGCTACTCACTTGATACCCTTTGCCCATCTGTGACACTTAGCCTGCTACATCCGACAACCACTATCTGGCCCACACTATGTACATAATGATGCCAAGGTGGAGAGGTCTTCAGTGGAGAAGAGAGTAGTAAACAGAATCTTTTAAATTGCATTTCACTTCTGTGTTGTGTTGTCTGGTCATCTGTGTGGGTACACACGAGCCACGGTGTGTGGGGGGAGGTCAGAGGAAAATTTGCAAGAGTTGGCAAGTCCCAGATATCAGACTCCGGTCATCAGGCTGGTGGCAGGTACTTTTACCTGCTGACTCATCTATCTGGCTCACAAATGGAATCTCCAAGAACAAACGGAAACATGACATCCAGGGTTCCTTACTCTCTGCCTTAGTGTCCTTCCTGTAACTGACACATCCCATAATGAGCCTACCAAGGTGATGCTGTTTTTTAATCTGGGCTGCAAAAATAATAGATGTGTACGATAGAAAGATTTGAAATGTGATGGGAAATACAAAAATCCAAGAGCCACCTACAGCCCATTAACGTCAGCTCATCATTACACATCCTGCACTGCAAGGGTTTCCTATCTAGAATTTGCAATATCCTGCCAATTACCACCATGCTAATGCTCTTACAACACTCCTTTGTACACAAGCATCTCTCACCACACCAACCTCCACAGGTATTCACAAATTGAACACCCTTCAATGTCTAGCTCACACAAAACCTGACATCCTCCAGGAATCCTAAATTCTGGGCCAGTCCAGGCAGGCCACTTGGCACTGTGCATATATCTTAAACAGGGAAGGAGGTTCAGTGTGTGGAGCAGCAAACATATCTGGGTAACGTGCATGTTGTGGTGGGGAAAGCAGGAGAAAGAACAGGGGAGAGAGACCCATCTTAAGAGTCTAACTCAGCCGGGCTGTGGTGGAACACACCTTTAATCCCAGCACTCAGGAGGCAGAGGCAGGCAGATCTCTGTGAGTTCGAGACCAGCCTCATCTACAGAGTGAGTTCCGGAACCACCAAGTATACATAGAGAAACCCTGTCCCGAAAAAGAGTCTAACAGGACCACCCTCCAGAAATTCTGGGATCTGCTGGAAGACTGGTTGCTAGGTCAGGATTGAGGTCTGAGATCAACATTTCTGACAAGATCCATTGCAGAAAGGAGCCAGGGCAGTCTGCATAACTTGGAGGAACGAGGGTCACCAGGAGGCTGGGACAGTCTCATTTGGTAGATGAGGTGGGTGTGTGGGTGTGGGTGTGTGGGTGTGGGTGCGTGCGTGCGCGCATACATAAAGACGTTTCCATTCTGAACCACTGAGGCCCGCTTAAGAGGAAGTAGCCATGAAACCAGTCTGTAGTCCAATTACACACCCGTGTAGCCTCCATGTAGAAGCTGGACTCAGAACTTAAGACAAACATCTGAAAACTCCCCTGTGGCTTCTTACTGCTGCCAGAAGGACCTCAAATGCGACATGGCCAGACCCTTGCCAGCCTGTCACCTCACCTTCCACAGGCTACCATACAAGTTGCTGTCCTCCATCTGTCTCTGACTTCCCAGTGGATCGTGGCAGAGTGTTCCTATCCAGGGTCTTCCGGTCTGGGCCTCTGGCTGCCCCGCCCCGCCCCGCCTCCCCACCTGTGGCTGTCTTGTAGGTGCAGTTGGCTGCATTGCTCTCATTGTAACATGAGCCCCATGACAGCAGAGGTTCCCTGACATTTTGTGCAGCTGCTTGTTTCCCCCTCCGGGACAGACTGTGGGAAGGAACAGCACAGGGACTGCTGGTGGTGCCTTTCAACAGGACCGCTGACGTCTGTGTAAGCACTGGCCACCCCAGTGTCTGTTCTCCTGGCTCTTTTTCTGGTGGTGCTGTCCTCTCCCTACCCTTCCCTTTAGGAATACAGCACCCATGTTTCATCAGGAAGGCTCAGAGCTGCCTTCAAAGATTACCCTGACTTCCCTCTTGTGCTGCTGGGCTTGGTAAAACTCTGCTTAGAGGATGTGGATGGAAACTGTTCTGCAACTACAGAGTCATATCCTCAAAAAGACACTGTACTTCCCTTCATTCCGGAGTTTGTGATCCTCACTAACGACAGCCAGGGCAGTCACAAGAAGAGGCCCTGAGCACAGGAGAAAGAACCTGGGCTCCTGGGGGTTCATTCCACAAGCAGAGCCCCTCTCTGGGCCATACACTAACTGTACTTCATAAAGGCTGGCAAGAGCCCTGTCTCTCATGTCCGCTCTCCTCTTTCCCGTGCTATCGCTCTAAGGGTGGCACCCTTCTATGAGGTATTCAGTGCCAGACCTTCCTGTTTGTGGTGGTTTGAGTGAGAATGGCCCCAATCGGCTTATAGGCTTGAATGTTTGGTCACCAAGGAATAGAACTGCTTGAAAGGATTACAAGGATTAAGAGGTGTGGCCTTGTTGGTGTAAGGGTTTTTTGAAAACCCCTGCCAGGCCTAGTACCCTTCCCTCCCTCCCTCTGTCTGTGGATCAGGATGTAGCTCTCAGCTACTGCCTGCATCCTGCCATGCTCCCACCTTGATAATGACTAAGCCACTGAAACAGTCAGCAAGCTGCCAATTAAATGCTTTCTTTCAGAAGACTTGCCTTGGTCATGGTGTCTGCCTCAGCAAGGATTTCTATTGCTGTGGTGACACCTGACCACAGCAACTCTATTTTACTGGTTTTTTGAGACAGAGTTTTTTCTGTGTAACAGCTCTGGCTGTCATGGAACTTGCTTTGTAGACCAAGCTGACCTCAAATTCACAGAGATCCATCTGCTTCTGCCCCCCCCCCCAGTTGCTGGGGTTAAAGGCGTGCACCACCATTGTCCTGCATGACCACGGCAACTCTTATAAAAGAAAAACATTTAATTGGGGTGGCTTACATTTTCAGAGGTTTGGTTGGTCCATTATCATCTTGGTAGGGAGAATGGCAGCGTGCAGGCAGACATGGTGCTGGAGAAGGAGCTGCTACATGTTGATGTACAAGAAACAGGAAACAGACTATCACAGTGGGTGGTACCTTAAGCACATGAGGCCTCAAAGCCCACCTCCATAGTGACACACTTCCTCCAACAAGACCACACCTACTGCACAGGGCCATACCTCCTAATAGTGTCTTTGGTATTGTGATTGCCAATTACATTCCAGTGTCTCTTCACAGCAACAGAACAGCGACAATGTCATTCTTCCCTCTGACTCAGCCAGAAAGTCACTTCCTCCACAAGAGGCCTCCCACAGGACTGCAACACAATGCAACCTGCAGGCTCCCCAGGGCACTTAGTGCCTGGTGAGACCCCTTCATTCTGTGTCCACCTCCCACAAGCAAGTGTGAGCCTCTGCATGGGCTGCCTGCCACACCTGAAGGGCCCCAGTGAACCCTTGTTGATGGAGCAGATAAAGACGTCTTGCTTTTGAATACTAAGCCGCCCACTAAACACGGTGGAAGACTTTAGTAAGTGCTCTTGTGACACCATGTCTAACTTCAGGGACACTTACAAGTTTTGTTTTCTAGTTCCAAAAGACCCACAGCTGAGTATGTGGGCAACTTGGGACTGGTCACCAAGACCCAAAAGCCTCCACTCACACCAGGCCTCTCCTCACTACAGATTCTACAACAGGGGAGCAGCTTGAATTGAGGGTGATAGGCTGTACTGTGTTCCTCTCTAGTTAACCTCCGGTATGT